ATATGCCTCTTCCCCATGGTTCGTGCTGGGGATGGCTTCTTGTGGCTTCTGGTCTCTATGTGTCTGGCTATTCCCCTTTACAGAATGCTTCTATTAAACCTTTGGGCCAAGCCTTTTCTGCTTATACCACTATTCCTGCAGGGACCCTGGCTGAAGCAAACCACCATCTCTGGTTTGAATAGGAAATGTCCCCAGAGGCTCATAAGTTGAATGCTTGGTCCTCAGCTGACTATAGCAGTTTTGAAGGTGATAGAAACTGAGAGGTGTGGCCAAGCTAGAAAAAGTGGGTTACTAGGGGGCATGCCCTTGACGATTATACTTGTTTCCACCACATAGTCCTATCACTATGATGCTATGCTTGAGTACATGGAACCAAGCAAGCATGGACAGGAGCCTCTAAAATAGCCAGAGTACACCATTTCTCCTTTAAGCTGTTCTCTCAGGTGTGGGGTGTGTGTGTGTATGCATACACATGCATGCGTATGCATGTTCAAATTGTGTGTGGAGGGAGAGGTCCCTAATAATTCTCCATCTTAATTTTTTTTAGCACTATAACTAAATATTTATTTAGTTAGTTTTTCAAGAAAGGATTTCTCTGTGTGGCTGTGACTGTCCTGAAACTCATTCTATAGACTAGGTTGGCCTTGAACTCAGAGTCCTCCTGCTTCTGCTTCCCGTGTGCTGGGTTTAAAGACATGCACCACTACGGTTCTGCAGTGATTTGAGTCTTACTTGGAATACATAATCAGCAATAAATTATCATAAGTTGGATGAATTTATAAGTTAATTGAACAATACAAAGCAGATACCTTTCAGTCTTTACTTCTTGTGCATTTAGATACTGAAACTATAGATGTCTGGGGCTCTCAACCACTGAACCATTGCTCAAGCTTCTCTACCTTATTAAACCTGAAGCTCATCAATTAGGCCAAAGGGCTCCAAGGATCCTCTGGTCTCTATGTCCCCAGTGCTGGGATTATATGCACCAGGCTTTTCCTTTTGGGCTACCAACCAGCTCCCAAATCATGACATGGAGATTTATTATTAGCTTTGAATGCTCGGCCTTAGTTTAGCTCTTCTCCGACTAGCCCTTGTAATTTTAACCTGTTTCTCTTTGCAGTTTGCCTCGGGGCTTTTACCTTTTCTTACTTTCTTGTTGTCTCTATGTTTGACTGGCTTCTGGCCCCAGGCATGCCCCTCATTCTCTCCTCTCTTCTTCTTCCCTCCTCCTCCTTTCTTCCCCCAGATCTCTCCTCCTATTTATTCTCTCTGCCCACCAGTCCCACCTTTCCTCTCTCCTGCCTAGCTATTGGACATTCAGCTCTTTATTAGACCAATCAGTTGCTTTAGGTAGGCAAGGCCAAACGGACACAACACATCTTTACATAATTAAACAAATGCAGCATAAACAAAAATCACGCACCTTTATATACAGTTAAAGTAACATTCCACAGCATAAACAAATGTAACATCTTTGCCTAGTTAAAATATCCTACAACAATTACGGGTACAGGCCACCACACCCCACTTCTTATGTGGGCCCTTTCGGGTCCTCATGCTTGTATGGCAACCGCTTTACTAACTGGGCCGTCTGCCCGGCCCTCCCTCGAGTATTTTGATCTCAGCTACACAAAAGTGACATTATGGGTTACCGTGAATTACTGAGGAGAGAAGAGCTGCAGAGACAGCTGGATGAGCGGATGTGAGCAGGCCATGGCCAAGGACAAATGGAAACCCGGTGGGATGAAAAGCACAATCCACACAACATGGATGCAAACTTTTCTCAGTGCTATCTGGCCCTGGAGTTACCTGCGCAGTGATGGAGAGATGGACAGGGCCTCTGGACCCAAAAGGGGGTCACTGACCCTGAGGAGGTGATGATTCTTAGGATCTTAGCTTTGGGTCTTGGAAACAGGGGCTTTGAAGACTGTTTCCAAAGTGGGGAGGGCCAAGAGCCTTGAGAAGTAGCTGTGTGACATTGAGAACATTTTCTGGCTGTTAATGACAGACCCGCCTTGACCTCTCATATTCCTTCTAGTTCAGACATTCTGGGGTTCTGTCCTGTTTTGAGCAGTCTCATGAACTGAACCCCACTGTTAGGCACACACTACCTTGGGTCATGGAGTCCCTGGGAATCTTTAGTAGTGTACCAAGGATTAGGGGGCATCGAGATGGCTCAACTGGTAAAAAGGCACTTGTCATCAAACCTATGACCTGAGTTCAATACCCGGGAGCTACATGGTGACCAGAGAAAAGCGAGTTGTCCTCTGACCTCCGCGTTCATGTTGTGGCAGGCAAGAACCTACACACACATAAATACGCAGACACAATAAATAAATAAATGAGTAAATACGTGTAAAATGGCAGTAAGCATGCGAGGAGGGGAATGCATTGTGCTAGCAATTCTCATTGGCCTGGAGAAGGGCCTCACCCTGAGTCTGGAACAGACTGGACACAGAATATATCTTCACAATCTCTCCTATGCCCTTTGTGGCCCAGGCGGGTTTTATATCTTTTTCCATTGTGCTATGGGATGCCACGATGATGGTCATGGAAGGCCAACTTGTGCTCCTTGTGTTTTGCACAGTCCTGATTATGGCTATGAACGTTCACCTTCCACCCTAGAAACTCAGCTTGAGCTCAACTGGGCCCCAGGGTCTGCAGCCATCACCAATGTATAAGAGCTAGCGCCAGTTTGCTGGAGCTGGAGGGTGGATGGCTTGAACAGATCTGCCCCTTCTGTAGCCCCGTTGCTCTGATTTCTTTGGTTTCTGAGCTAAGAAGGAAGTCACACCTCCATGGCCTGCCCTAGAGGGTTTGAAGTTGCTGAGCCAGACCCACAGCTTGGGCAATGCCTGTGTCTTCCTGTGATGCAACCCTAAGATGTTCATTGCTGGGGTGTTTATCAGGGGAAGGTAGGGGCAGAGTTGGGGAGGTGCTCTGCTCTTTCCTCGAGGCCCCTCTCACCTCTGCAGAGGGTGGCTGGGGTGGGAAGAGGAACCTAGTGTCTACCTCATCTCTGTTGTCTTGGTTGTCCTATGGCAAAAGATAACATATGTACTAATACCAAGAAGGACCCAGAGCTGTTGTTCACCATATGGGGTCCCAAGATCAAGTTCACATCAGGGACCTGACTTGCATCTTGGCAGCTTCTGGGGTTCTACACCAGGGCTTTTGCTAGCTTCAGGCACACTGAGTCTGCTTAAGGTCACCTAACTATACCAGGACACACTATCCTTCCTCTGAGGTAGCCTTTCTTACCAGTAGCCCAAGTGGAAGTGCCCATAGAGCCTGGGACAAGCCATCCATGGCGCCCACAACTCACAGCTACCAGTCTGTCCCACCACCCTGACCCCTGGCACTGTATTTGGTCTGTCCTCTTTCCTTTATCCAGGGACCACCAGGAGTTCAACATTCTCCTTGGCACTCACCATAGTCACCCCATGTTGGTCAGATCTACCACTATTCAGGCAGTGCTTGCATTCAGGTCTGTCACTCAGGTGGCAGGGCAGTAGACAGTCTTTCTGTCTGGCCCATCTAAGGGACTCAATCACAGTGGGAGGCTGGGCCTGGTTGGACAGGCCTACAGTCTCAGGTACTTAAAAAAGGCTGTGATTGTAAGTTCCAGGTAATCCTGTGCAATTTATTGAGAGAGAGAGAGAGAGAGAGAGAGAGAGAGAGAGAGAGAGAGAGAGAGAGAGAGAGAGAGAGGAGAAGGTGGTAATCCAATTTAGTGATGGAGTACTTGCCTAGAATGTGTGGAGTCCTGGATCCAATGCCCACCACTGAAAAAGGGTGAACAAGAGGGTTGAGATACCCCTTAGTTGGTAGAGTACTTGCCTAGAATGTATGAATCTTGTGTGTCTGACCCTAAGCACTGGACATGATTGTACATACGTGTAATGCCAGCACTCAGGAGTTAGAAGAATTAGATGTTTATAGGAAGGTCAAGACTAATCTGAGATCATATATGACCTTGTAAATATGTAACAAAAAAATCACTGGTGGGGTGGGAGGCCGTGTCCTCCAAACTCAGTCAGGTTTGGGAGGTCAGGAGGACCCAGGTAATCGACTGGTTGTGACCTCAGATCTGGTGTTGTGGCCTAAGGAAGTACTGACAGAAAGGGTGGGGGTGGGCCCTCCAAGGTCAGGCTGGGAAACAACAGAGCCAGCAAGCTCTAAGTGATGACAAGAACCTTGGATGAGGTACCTATGAGGGCCAGGAGGGCCGCATAGGAGCAAGTCTGCAGAGCGGGCATGGCAGTACACTCCTGTAATCCCAGCATGCAGCAGGCTGAGGTAGCAGAGTCTTGAGCCCAGCCTGAGTTAACTAAAAACCATAAACAAAAACCCTATCCAAACAAAGCAATACAAGCCAAGCAAAAACAACCACCCACACGTAAATTAAAACCAAACAAAACAGATGAAGTGAGCCTATGGATAAGTAGGCACCAGTGGGCAAAGTCCTGGGGGAAAGAGGCCGAGGGAATTCCATGGGGCACACCAACAGACGTGGCAGCATGTCCTAAGCTGGGGAGCTCTGGGCTTGTGCATTCCTTGCCTGTGTTTCAGACATGTTTGCATGCAGGCATGGGTGTAACAGGGAGTCACAGCTGCGGTGCACACAAGTCCGGAGGGGGCCAAGCTCCCTCCCACTTGCTAAATTCATTGGGGACATCAGATTTCGCTTACTTATCCATCCATACACCCACCCATTCCTTCCTTCCTTCCTTAGGCAGCAGGAGCTCCTGCCTCCAGACTATGAGAACTGTAAATCAGGCCGGGTTAGACTTGGATCCATTCCTTAGTATGCACGGCCATCATAATCTCTGAGAAGCACCGACAGAGACAGCAGAAAGGTCTTTACAGAGGGAAGTGTCTGGTTGGACATTTGCCACGACTATCTGCAAGACCTGCCCTTCCCGCGGGCCCTGGAGACGCAGTACCGCCCGCCGCCCCGTGGGGGCGCTGCTGGGAGGGGAGCTGGCTCGGTCGTCAGCTGCGCTGTGGGTTCCGCACGCACTCACTTGGGCAAGCGGTGCGTACGGCAGGCTCCCTGCGCTCCCGGAGCCCGGCTGCTCTACGCGCACCCCAGCAGTCTGTGTCTGCTCTTGCTCGGCTCGACGGCGACATGGGTGTCCCCACGGTCCCAGAGGCCAGCGGCCCGCGCTGGGGGACCCTGCTCCTCGCTCTTTTCCTGACTGCATCCAGAGGTAAGGTCCGCTGGCGGCGGGGCACAGGGGAAGAGTTTCAGGCAGCACAGTTCGGTAGGGCGGAGGGACCCAAGCAGGATGGGAGTGCCTTGAATCCCCTCAGCCTGCGGTGACCTCCACCCTACCGCTGTTCTGAGGCTGCTGGGACAGCCCAGCAGGGTGCAGTGGTGGCTCCGTCCTAGTCGAGTACATCTGTCTGTGCTAACAGCTGCCAAACCAGCAGGCAAAGCTGTCTCCCGAGGGAACTGCCTGCTACACTTCCCTGCCCAGAGAGCCCAGAGCAGGGGCCATGAAGAGCTTCTGCGAGTCAGGAAAGGGACATGAAGTGAGTCCCCCCAGACCTTTAGTGGTTGTTGACTGGCTTTTGACACCTGGGGCATCTCCCTGCCTTCCTGCTCCGGAGTCTCAGAGGACTTGTGTGTGTGTGTGGGGGGGGGGCTGTGACCCAGTGCTCCATCCCCTTTGACACTCCTGGATGAGCTTTGATGGGCACTCCCAGATCTGGGCAGCTTTGTCACCTGCTTTATACTGATGACACATTTGAGTGATCAGTGGGTTCTTGTCATTTAGCCAGATTGCAGCTGAGCAGCCAGCATGGAGCACTGGGGAAGATATGGCACACTCCCTGAGCCCAGCCACCAGTCCATGCCTGGGCTTGGATAACACAGACACCCAAGTCCCACACAGAGAGGTGCCACTTCCAAAATCCAGACTCACACTTTGTGCCTTGTCCCAACAGTAGTTCCCCAGAGCCTGGTCCTTGCTTGCCCAGAGCAGAAGATCTCAAAGAAAAAGGGATATTCTGATAGGTGGCCAAGGGGTAAACAAGGATGTCCCCTGGAGATTGCCTGTCGGATCCTTCCTTTCTCAGAAAACCAGGACACAAGTTGCTTCTGTAAGACTGGGGAGAGAAAGGGTCCAGGGACAGTGTCAGTCATGGAGGGATTCAGAAGTGTCAGGATGGAGGTGGTGGGCTCTGCAGAGGGAGCCAATGGACCGATCAGAAAAGAAAGAAGGTTAACTGAAGGAGAGGGGAGGAGAGACAGATAACTTCTTATCAGCACTGGGAGGCAGGCCTGGACCTTTGATAAGGAAGAAGGCATCCACACCCTATAAACAGAACATCGAAAGCCCTGGTCTGGATGCTTCCTACCACCCGAAGGGAGAGACTGAGGCAGGGGTAGGTACAGGTTGAGAATGCTACAGTCCCAGCACCAAGGTCAAGGCACCTTGAAGGCTGTCACTTCCAGGGACAGGGAGCAGTCACAGACAGGAAGGCCAGTACTGTGTCTACCACAGGCTACCGTCCTCCCCCAAGTGACTCCGTGAGACCCCTTTTCTTGTCATTTCCCTACCCTCAGTTGAATGGGATGCTGTCTGTTCATCAGCCCCAATTTGGGAAACTACGTCCTAGAGGTTCGGAGTAGAGGGACACAGCTTGTGGAAGATCCAACAGCAAAGAGGCCACGAGGGGAGCTGGGAACCCCTACCCTGCTGTGCCTCCAAACCCAGAAGACCACACAGCCTTGGCTTTTGGCTACTCAAACTTCTTGGTGAGCTAAAGGCTACCTCCCCCGTCCAGCTCAGGGAAGTCATTAGGGCTCTGTGTAGCTTTCAGGAAAGGAACAAAGGAGCCCTTTAGCCTAGAGCTCCTCTGACCTCAGCATTGGCTATAACACAGGTGTGATCATTCATGTTTTCTTTCTCTCTCCTATAGCAGACATGGTGGTCAGGAGATCTGGGGCTGAGAACACTCACCAGTCAGTTGAGGTGCTGGGTTGCCTTGGGCAGAATGACATTTAGGGAAGGGTGGAATGGGGGCCTGGGGGGCTTCAAGCAGTCAGAGCTTAGGAGGCACTTGGGGCACTTGGGGCATACTCCTGTCCTAGCCTGTCATGGGCTGAGATTGGGGGGGGGCGGATTCAGTTGCCTTGGGAGCCAGAAGCCAGCAGACCCTAGGGGATGCAGAACCTCTTCCCCACAGCATCCCTGAGCTTTGAGGAAGTTACTACCTTGCCTGTCCTCGGTCTGACCCAGGAACCCAGGAACCCCCGTCAACAGGGGGGCTCTGGTGTGAGAGATGGGCAGCTGTCTTCCTTTTCATCGTAAACAAGAATGCAAGGCTCTGTTGAGTAAACTCAATGCTGCAAGCCTCTGACCCGGTAGTGGTCAGCTCTTAGGAAATCCATAAGCCCCGCCCAGCAGCCAGAGACTAAAGATGACTATGCCATGGGATGCCCAGGGGGCAGGAACTAACCACAGCAGCGCTTTCCGGCTGTGGATCTAGGAAAGGAGTACCAAATGGAAGCTGCAGGAGTCACCTCCGTATAGCATCTTAGGCCTAAGCAGAAGAAACAGAGGGTCCTCAGGGCCCATGTGTCCTGTTGGTACTGACTGAGCCCTGAACTTGAGGTCCTAAGTTCAAAGGCAACTATTGCCCAGGGTCAGTCTGGCCTTGTCAGAAATTAGCACTGGCTTCTGATACCTATGGATCCTTTGGAAGGTCTGACTGGGCCATGGCCTTCCTGAGGTTTAAGCAAGGGGTCTGGGGTACAGCTGCATGCCAGGGTTTGCTCCAGGTCTAGTTTAACTGTATTGTAGTTAGACTGTATTAGACTCTCAGCTGGCCTTTTGCGAGCTGAGCAAGCTTCTTAGCATCTTTGGTCAAGTCTCCATCTGTAATACAGGGCAGCGATTCACCCTCAGACACAGCTGTGTGGAGCTGATGGGTAAACTTCCCATGGTGCTGGCCTTTGTGATGTCAGTAGTGTGTTATCGCCTGGTTTCTAGCGACTCCATACCAGTTGCTTTCCATCGGAGCTTTCACTGCCTACAGAGCCCCAATGAATGTCCAGGACGTAGGAAGCCTTGGGAAGTATCACTGGGAATGCATTTCCCAGACTCCTAACATCTCAAGGATGCCCAGGCTGGTTCTAGCTACTAGTCTGAAATGGCCACAGGGGTGGCTGGTGGGTCTCCTCCTAAATCCCCTAGAGAAGAGGCCACAACAGCCACCCTGGTCTAGGATGAGCTTTCTCTCACATTCCATTTGCACACTCAGCCTGTTTACTGTTGCCCATCTCCAGAGTAAAGCAAGGGACATTCGCTAATGAACTTGCTGTGCTTGGCTGCTAACCAAGCCCTCCCATTGGCCTTTCTCGGCTTCCAAGGAGACCCTGGGTCCAGTCCTGCCCCATCTACTCCCTCACCATGGGGCCCCAGGCACATACTTCCCCCAACTGAGCCGAGAGCAGGCTGAGTGACAGATGCAGCTGACTGCTGGTCCCTGGGGAGGGTAATTCCCCTTGGTGCATTCTGGGTTCATTTGCTCATCACCTGTATGTAGTATCTGCCCAACAATCTGCCTACTTGTTTTTCCTTTAAATCTACACTTTTCTTTAAAGTACAAAATTTAAAGGAAATTTTAAGACAGTGTTACAAGTGGAAAGCTAGTATCATGGGCCATAAATAGAACATATAAAAGAACATCACTGGCAAGCCAAATAAGGGAATTAAATGCTAGTTGGAAACTCAGGCTGGGCCAGAGTCAGCATGTAAAGCCTGCTGCTGTCTCTTTGTGGAAATAAATTAAGTAAAAATTTTAAAAAGGACATTTTGAAGATACAGTGGCATCAACTATGACTTTTTCTTTGATATAGTCAGGGCTAAGGGAATACTGAAACGGGAACAAATGCCTCTCTTTATGATTCAGTGTTTAATGTAAAATCAAAAGTAAAACTACTTGAGTTATTAATGCAGCCAGGCAAACCAAGCCCTCATTGGCTAGGTCAGCCGTCCATCTGTGGGGAGGAGGTGGAGCCAGTCTCTGGTTACCTCTGGTTTCTAGAGACAGCACCAACTCCCCAGAGGCCTGGATTTGAATTCTGACCACAACTTAGTCTCTGTGAGACTGTAGCCAGGTTTCTTTTGTGTTTTGGCTTCCTAACCCAAGCTCCTATTTCACAGGCTTGGGAATTAATTAAACAAGTCTGTGTCCGCATGCTTAGAACAGTCCTACTAAGTGAGCCCCTTGCATGGATCTGATCTTAGGAAGTCTCCCTGGTTGGAGTGGCCATGGGGTTGAGTCCTCCTTCAGAGGCCTTGAATCTGGGTTGGAATCCTCCAGAGGAGCCTCCCCGAGCCAGGGCCCTGGCCCACTGCCCAGACCGTCCCCAGGAGGCCCAGTGGCTAGGGCCTCTATCCCTGGATGCAGCCCGTTTTCCCAAGGTGCTGGAAGTGTGGCTTCCTCCCATAGAGCCCCACTTCCCCTTCCCAGGCTCCTTGGTCCATGTGAATGGACACTTCCTGCTAGGGCCGGGATCAATAAACACATCTGAGATACCCTTTGTCCTCACTAGCTAGAGAACCCTCTGCACAGACTTGTTGGCTTCAGTCCGCAGCTTCACCCTGGGGCACTTCCTCTGGGCTTTGACTGGACCCGGCCTCTGTGTCCTTCTCGGTGCCATACATCTTGCTAATGATACAGCCCGGCCTTGCCCTTTAGACACCCGGAGAACGTCCCGGCAAGTGAGGCCTCTGAGCTGGGCCGGGTTTCCATGCCTGAGACCCCGGTCTCTCTCATCACGTGTGAGGCTAGCAACTGCAGACCTTCAGATTGTTTACTTGGCAAGCTAGCAGCTGGAGAGACCTCAGCTGTCTGGGTGGGGCCTTCCTGGCCTGACCAATCAAGTTCGGGACCCACCTCCAAAACCTCTGGGGTGTTGCCTTGGTGACTGTGGGTAAAGCCAGTGCCTGTCAGGGAAAACACAATACTAAAGCTTGTCCACACCCACACACACCCATCCCCTGTTCGCCCACAGAGCCTGATGTGGGGCAAGAGGTGACAGTCTCAAAAACAAGACTGGAGAGGATGCCAAGTAAGAGTTTCTTGAAGACTTTCCCGCAGAGGCTCTGCCCTATCTGTAGCTGGGCAGCACGGCCAGGAGAGGCAGCAAAGACCTGTTCCCTCAGGGGGCCCTCCCCTTTACAACCTCTGCCTT